ACCCCCCACTAACTACTTGCACCAGCCCACCTTTCTGCCAATAGTTGCTTATATCTCACCCTAACTTCCTCCTCCCTTAGTTTATAAACATTCACCTCTCTTACTTACTGTTGCCATTTTCCTTTTGTCCCATCTAGCTTGTACTCTAACTATAACTACAACTGGATAATGATCCGATATATTTGTTGCCCCTCTATAAACATGTACATCCTGAAGCCTACCCATCAACCTTTTATCCACCAATAAATAATCTAACAAACTACGTACTTTCATTACGTGCTATATTATATCTTATACGTTTTCTCAGTGGCAGTGGTAGCAGCGGCATCCTACCAGCTCTTATTCTTCAAGAAACCATCGCTCATCAAAGCTTGTGATGGCCTAATTGAAGGTACAACTACATGAACCCACATAGACCACAAAATGACCCCAAAATACTAAGAATGTAATCCAAATCTTGACAAAATAGAAGATCTAAGGATGACAGCCCTGCTAACCCAAACACCGCCTCCGCTGCCAGAGGATCACTTAACCCAAGCTCAGGAAAATCAAGATTTCTCCTCCATAGCTTCACAGTATCTACTTTAGTGATACTATGAAAGGAAATCGCAGAAGAAACAACAGCAGTAACAAAAGAATAACACCAAAGACTCTACAACTCAACATGTCTACCCAGCAGGATGCCAGTATATCATCAACCCCCCCTCACCACTGCCTAGGAAACAACAACAAACGTGGCTGACTCCCCCTCCAACTCCACTCCCTTCAAAGGATTCTCTCAAGAACACCCAGGTATGATTCTTCCTGACACAATTAGCGATTACATTGTAGCTCTAGAAAATGAAAACAAAGATATTAAATCAACACTTGCTCGATATGAATCCAAGGTAACCATCCTCAAGAACAAGATCTAAAACCTTGAAGAGAGAATTACATTGGGAAGTGCTGACACAGAAAATACTCTGAAAACAGCTATAGCCAGCTACAGAGCAAATAACAACCCTAAATATGAAGGCTGAAGAAGCAATCAAGGGCTGGAATCAGAACATGCACACTCGACTGAATGAATACTTTGAGTTCCAAGATGACAAAACTGAACAAGATAAGTTATCCGATGCAGTTATAATAAACAGCCCTCACATTCCTATTGACATAACCCAAGCTCAGTGCAAGGAAACTGCTATCAGGATAACATATGACTACGTAAAAGTTATCCTGCAAAACAATGAAATGAAAGAAACGCGTTTGCTAGGAAAACAAGGTAGTAGACACAGTATTATGATCAGACTTCATTCATATGATAAAATAAAGGGCCTAATTAAATCAGCAATTACAATGAAAAATGGTGTACATCAACGAGTGTCTAACGAGAAAACGTCAAAACCTTCTGTTCAGGTTGAGAAAACTTAAACAGGAAAATAAAATACATCAGTGTTTCACTCGAGATAGGAAAATACTAACCAAACCATACCCCGGCCGGGATTGAAACCCGCGGTCAGGGTATGGTTTGTTTGCAATTGTGTCATTACGATTTTGTGAGTCAGTCAGGAAAATACCAGTTAGGAAAACATCAGCAGGACAACAATATACCATTTCAAACGAACATGATTTCTTTTCCTTCCTTAGAAAAGCTGACATTTCCACAACAGATTAGAAAAGTGTCCTTAACACATATATATGTGTGGTGCATATTACTTTATTGAGCATTTTTATTTTTTTTACTAGCTAATACCAGCTACCTCAGATACTTTTTACTTCTGTTTAATTGCTCAAAATTTTGTGTTGCAAGTCAAATCTTACTCCTAAATTAATCTTATTCATGGTTGCTACCTCTCCATTTAATTTTGTTTACCACTACTTATTTTAGTCCCTTTTATATTAAGATAAGATTTCGTTCGGATTTTTAACCCCGGAGGGTTAGCCACCCAGGATAACCCAAAAAAGTCAGTGCGTCATCGAGGACTGTCTAACTTATTTCCATTGGGGTCCTTAATCTTGTCCCCCAGGATGCGACCCACACCAGTCGACTAACACCCAGGTACCTATTTGCTGCTAGGTGAACAGGACAACAGGTGTAAGGAAACGTGTCGAAATGTTTCCACCCGCCGAGAATCGAACCCGGGCCCTCCGTGTGTGAAGCGGAGCTTTTGCCACCAGCCCACCGGGCCACCGGCCAATTAGTGTAACTTCCAATTACATTATTGTGCAATTCCCAAAACTATCATTTGCTAGCTAGTACCAGTTACCTCATATTTTTTTTTTACTTTTTATAGTGCAATTAATTGCTCAACTTATTATATATTGCAAGTCAGATCTTACTCCCAAATCAATATTATATCATAGTGACTATCTGTCCATTCAACTTTACCATTACTTAGTTTAGTCCCTTATTATTTTTCTCCTTTATTTTAGCTTTAAATAACTACCTTAGTTCATATATTCACAATTGTTAAAATAATCAAGGTGCTATTCTCAGGTGCTAAAGCGTAGTACGTTCATTATTTTACTATTATATTCCCTAGCTTCTTTATTTGATCACCACGTTATTTGTTCACCACAACTTATTTTAGTCCCTTTTATATTGTCTCCTTTATTTTAGCTTTAAAGAACTACCTACTATTAAAATTCCCAAGCTTCTTTATTTGATCACCCCTTTAATTGTTCATCACAACTTATTTTAGTCCCTTTTATATTGTCTCCTTTATTTTAGCTTAGTTCATATATTTACATTTGTTAAAATAATTCAGGTGCTATTTTTTAGCTTTAGAATACGTATTTACTTTGTCTTATACTTAAGACTAACTATAGATTCACTATAAATCTTATGATTACAAGCATTGATCCTGATTCCAACCTCTTATTGAATGACTTAAATGAATCAAACAGCAACTGTAATTACTACACAGCAGAACAATCAAAGGCACTTCTCAGAGCCAACAACAACATAACTGTCTTTAACTACAATGTCAGATCTTTAACCCTTTCAGGGTCCGTCCCGTAGATCTACGGCTTTACGGTGAGTGTCCAAACCATAGATCTACGCCAAAATTCTAGCGCTGTCAAATTTAGAGCGAAAGCGCTCATAGGCCTACATGTGAGAGAATGGGTCTGCGCCATAAACAAAAAATCTAGGCGCCTGCATAGCATTGTGGGAACGCCGGCTCAGTCACCCTTGTTCACCATGCCTCGTCGCAAGTCAGCTCTCACTCCCCGGAAAATTGGGACTCTCCTCTTCCTGTCTGATAGTTCTGACACTGATGGAAGTGGAAATGAAGACGGCTTTGATAAGTTAGTGACCGAAAATAATGACCAGGATATCGATAATAGTGCAGAAAACTCCGACGATCCTCGACCTTCTACCTCTGGTGTGGGCACTCGTGACTCACGGTCGGGTGTTCCTAAACGTAAGAGAAAACTAATTTTTTCACGTGGCCAGGCCTCTGACTTCAGTAATGACGATGATTCTGACGTGGATTGTGATTTTATTGCGCTCGACGATCATTCGAGTAGTGATAGTGAGGAATCATATTCACCAGTGAAGCGTCGGTATGTCCGCCGCCGCATGCACTCGGGTAGTGTACCCTATGCTGTGCCCAGGGGACGGAGTACATCCTGGAGTACATCCCGTGGCCCTACACCCGTTTTAGGTAGTGATAGTGAGGATGATGTGGCTACACTTGGCATGGATGGACCACAGGCATCAGTGGATGGTGTTAGTGGTGGTGGTGGTAGTGGCACCGCCATGTGTGACTCACCGTGCCACACGGGGACCCACGCTGCTGACTCGTCAGTTCAAGGACAAAGCGGAGCGTCAGCCACCAGCCCGCCACAACTACCCGTACAACCAGCCTATGATGTCCAGTATCCACCAGAAAACCGTATGTGGGATTGGCAGCAAAATCCCAATTTTGTTCCCAAGCCTCACCACTTTGATGACTCTCAAAGTGGAATTCTACCTACCTGTCCCCTTGGAACCACGGCCAATGAACTGGAATTCTTTGAATTATTCTTTGACCAGCCATTGATGGAAATTATTGCCAGGGAAAGTAATAAGTATTTTCAGTACACCATGGCAAATACGATCTTATCACCACAGTCAAGACTACACAGGTGGAAAGAGACGACTGTTGCAGAAATGTATTTGCTTTTTGCAACAATAATGCTTATGCCTCACGTCTATAAGCATAATATAAAAGCATACTGGTCCACAGATCGGCTAATTTCTACCCCGGTCTTCAGTGAAATAATACCAGTGAACAGGTTTATCTTACTGTTACGTATGTTGCACTTCTCTGACAAAACCAGGCCTGACAGAAGTGACAGGTTATACAAGATTAGAAATGTTTTCATGTATCTCAAACAAAAGTTCAGGATATACTTTTATCCATTCAAGAATCTTGTAATTGACGAGTCTTTGATTTTGTTCAAAGGTAGACTGTCATTCAAGCAGTATATCCCTGAGCAAGAGGAACCGCTTTGGTATAAAAACTGTTTGTACTCTGTGATTGTGACAGTGGCCTGGTGTTGGATATTGTTGTATACACGGGTAGTAAAACATTGAAAGATACCAAGATGTTATTGGGTATCTCAGGTGACGTAGTGAGAAACATGATGGCACCTTATCTTGGTAAGGGGCATACATTATATACCGATAACTGGTACACAAGCCCATTACTCAGTGATTTCATGCGAGTGAACAAGACAGATGTGTGTGGCACAGTGCGTTCTAATCGTAAACATATGCCCAGGCTCAACGCAGGTGTTCGTGGTGATGACGTGCAGGTGTTTACTGCCAATGACATCATGGCATTACGGTGGCATGACAAACGAGATGTCACATTGTTGACAACCATTCACAGTAATGAAATGCAAAACAGTGGCAAAGTTGATCGAGTGACTAATGAATGTATTCGAAAACCAGTGTCAGTGATTGATTATACACAAAACATGCACTTGGTTGACAAGTGTGACATGCAGATTGGTTTTGTTGACTGTGTTCATAAGAGTTACAAGTGGTACATGAAACTTTTCTTCCATCTCATGGACATTTCAATGCTCAATGCATATAATATGTACCAAATAAAGACTGGTAACAGACCACCGTATGGTGAATTTTGTTTTTCTGTTGTCAGACAACTCATAATGAAGTACCAGGTAACAACACCTGCAATACAACATGGTCCTCGAATTCCTCAGGATATACCCAAGCGTTTGAGGAGAGAAGGTGATCATTTCATAATACAGCTTCCTTCAACTCAAAAGAAATTTGCTCAGAAGAGATGCATTGTCTGTGCACAAACAAAACGACGGCAACAAAGACGCAAAGACACTCGGTTTATGTGTGAGGAATGTAAGGTGCCTCTGTGCATGGTGCCTTGTTTCAAGGAGTTCCACAAGCTCCAGCAGTTCTAAAACCATGTCCAGTGATTGTAAATATGTAAATATATGATAGAACATTAGTATTATACAATATTTGTGCATGTTTATTGTAATAAACAACAGTGGTAAACAATAATATGATAATAACTTTAGTGCGGTTATTGTGTTCAATACAGTGAGTTTATATATATAAATTATATACAGTATTGGTCTCTCAGGCACCAAATGTTAGTAGGAATAGAAAAAAATTGGAAAAGAAAGAAAAAAACAACTAAAACAACAAAATAATATAATACGCGTATGTGGAATTCGTCGATGTTGCCACCACCACATCATTTTCTATAAACTTCTTGGCACTGTATCTCGGTAAGTACTGATCAGATTCTTTTTTTTTTGTTTTATTACCTTCACAAAAATATGCTCTTTAATTCTGTAAGAAAAAATAATTTTTTTTTTCAAAATTTCTTGGACACTGGTGCATCACTTCAGATTTTGGCCTTGGACCCTGAAAGGGTTAAGCTAACATTACAATGACCTCACAGCATTACTAAATTCCCTGCATGCCAGTATGTCCATCATTACTCTCACCAAAACCTGGCTAAAGCCTGATACTACAGATGTCTATACTCAGACCATCTAGAATGTATCAATAATACATGCACAAGGGATGAACATGGGGAATATATAATAGCTAAATTCAAATCCAAATACCTACAAAAACCTCTCACAGTAATAAACATCTACAGAGTACCACAGTCAAACATTAGCCGTTTTAGTGAAAACCTAGGAAGTATGATAACTGATGCACGCATGAATAAAGATCACTTACTACTCTCAGGTGACTTCAATATAAATCTCCTGCAAGACCAGGACCCACACATTACTGAATTCACAAACACTATGAGTAACTGCTTGTTGCTACCAACAGTAACAAAACCTACAAGAATTATAGACACTAGTGTTTCTCTACTAGACCACATCTGGACCAACACCATATCCCCTTTAAAACCAGGCATAATCACAGATAATACCACAGACCACTACCCTACCATCCTCATAACTAACCTAGGCAAATTACCCCAAGACACTACTAAAGTCACTTTCAGACTTCATAATGAGGCAGCCATTAATAACTTCACAACAGCAATGACAAACATAGACTGGCACACTGAGCTAGAAATCTATAGAGAAATTGACAAATGTATTAATAATTTTCTAAAAAAGACCCAATACCTCTATAACAAGCACTGCCTTAAAAAACTAAACAGATCACAGCTAAGAGACTGAACAGTCCCTGGCTAATACCCAGCATCCTCAAATCCATAAATACAAAGCACCTATACAAAAAACAGTACAGAATGGGTCACATAACCAGAGACCAAACAAAACGTTACTGGTCAATCCTAACCAGCTTGATAAGAAGGGCTAAAAAACTGTATTATGAGAACAGATTATCTAACTTGATAATTATAAGTTGATATAAAAAGATTTGGAAAACTCTATCAGAAATTCTAGGAACAAAAAAGATATCATGAAATAGTGCAATTGAACTGACAAAACCAGATGAACCCCAACTCCCACCAAGTGAAACAGCAAACAGACTCAATAATTTCTTCTCCACCATAGGAAAAGACCTTGCCAATAAAATCCCAAGCTCAAATACCCAACCCAATGACTACCTAACTCGCAACTACCCGAACACACTGTTCCTAGCTCTGACTAACCCAACAGAAGTCTCCCTTATTATCAACAAACTAAAAAACAAGACAGATTTAAATACCTTACCACCCTTTATATACAAAAAAGTGTCGCAAATGCTGTCATCAATCATTGCAACACTCTTTAACAAATCCATCAAATCTTCTACCTTCCCTACAGTTCTCAAGATAGCGAGGGTCACCCCGATACATAAAGGAGGAGACCAAACAGACTTGAATAACTATAGGCCAATATCCAACCTACACCCTCTCTCTAAAATCTTCGAAAAATTAATTCTTAAGCGAATTTATTCCTACCTCATCTCCCACAACATACTCAATGAATGATGCCATTATACACATGCTAGAGCAAATATACACTGCACTCGAGAAAAAAGAAGTCCCACTGGGGATCTTCACTGATTTACATAAAGCTTTTGATACAGTTGACCATGATTTGCTCCATATAAAATTGTCACACTATGGTATAAGAGGGCACTACCTCAACTACCTAAAGTCATACCTCAGCAACAGAAGCCAATATGCGTACACAAATGGAGCAAACTCTTCCGCACAGACAATTACAGTTGGTGTCCCACAGGGAAGTGTCTTTGGCCCTCCTCTCTTTCTCGTTTACATAAATGACCTGCCAAATGCATCGCAACTACTCAAACTCACACTATTTGCAGATGACACTACATACGTCTTCTCTCACCCAAGTCCAGTCATGCTAGCCAGTACTGTAAATACCGAATTACAGAAAATATCTACCTGGATGATGACTAACAAACTTACACTAAACATTGACAAAACTTACTTCATTCAGTTTGGAAACAGAGCTACAGATGTCCCTCTTAAGATAATGATAAACAGATCACCTGTCACAAAGCTCACAGAGGGAAAAGTCTTAGGAATCCACCTTGATAATAGACTCAAATTTCAAACACATGTACCTGGAGTTTACCTGGAGAGAGTTCCGGGGGTCAACGACCCCGCGGCCACGTCTTGACCAGGCCTCCTGGTGGATCAGACCTAGACAACCAGGCTGTTGCTGCTGGCTGCACGCAAACCAACGTACGAGCCACAGCCCGGCTGATCAGGAACTGACTTTAGGTGCTTGTCCAGTGCCAGCTTGAAGACTGCCAGGGGTCTGTTGGTAATCCCCCTTATGTGTGCTGGGAGGCAGTTGAACAGTCTCGGGCCCTGACACGTAAAGTCTTAGGTCCCCTTGAAGCTCATTTCAACCACTGTACAACAAATTTCCAAGAAAATCTCCAAGACTGTAGGCATACTATCGAAGATACAGTACTATGTTCCACAGTCAGCCCTCCTGGCCCTATATCACTCACTCATTTACCCCTATCTCACCTATGGAATTTGTGCATGGGGCTCAACAGCAATAAACCATCTCAGACCATTAATTACCCAACAAAAGGCTGCAGTCAGAATGATAACAAATTCCCACTACAGGCAGCACACTCCACCAATATTGAAAACTCTAAACCTACTCACCGTACAAAACATCCATACTTATTATTGTACCTACTACATTTATTTATTTATTTATTTATTTTATGTCTTTGCAAACAGTACATTGAGATTTTGTATTTACAATAGTGGGTTGCAATGCAAAGAGAGCCTCTATTATGCCTAAGCATTATGGGCCAACTTAACATTATTGGTTTACAGTCTACTTAACACTAAGAAGTGTATCATAGTTGTACAGTAGGATAGTAATTATTTCATAGTTGTATAGTAGAATATTAATTATAAATGAATCAAAATTTGTATAATACAAAGATATATTTATATTCGAAAATGCTTTTTGTGAAAACAATGATTCAATTATATTCCTGTCAACAATGGATAAAAGGTTCAATGTGATTGTTTCAGCTATGTGGGAGTACATAGGTGAGTAAGTGTGTACTGAGTATTTAGCATTTAGTCTAGGGCAGGGGTTCCCAACCAGGGGCACTTGCACCCCCTGGGGGTGCAAGACATCATTCCAGGGGGTGCGAGAAGCGTCCATCTTAATAACAGGAAATTGATTCATTTATTACTTATTAATATTGAATAATCATAGTAAAATTACCATTATCTTTATTTTCATCTTTTTATTTCAGATTATCATCATAACCCTTCACCATGTCGAAGAAAAGGAAATGGAATGATGACTACGTTCGTTTTGGTTTCACTTGCAACGGAAAGACTGAGGATCTGCAAAAGCCTCAGTGCATAATCTGTGGAAATGTTTTCTCCAATGCTAATTTGAAGCCATCTAAGCTGCAAGAACACTTCAACAACCAACATGGTGGGGCCAATGTTGCGGGCCATGATTTTAAGTCGTTGCAAGCTAAAAGAGCCCGTTTTGATTCTCGAGCAACCCTTCCAAAATTAGGGTTTATATCTGTTAACAAACCACTGACAGCTTCATACCAAGTGGCGTACAAAGTAGCAAAGTCTAAGAAACCTCATACTGTTGCAGAAGAGCTTATCAAACCATGTGCATTAGAAATGGCTACAACTATTCTCGGAAATGAAGCAAGAAAGAAGCTTGAATTAGTGCCACTGTTAAATAATGTTATTCGAAGCTGAATTGATGATTTGAGTTTAGATATTTTGGAACAAGTTATCTCACATATGAAGGCTAGTCCCTTGAAAATCTCCCTTCAGTTGGACGAAACTACTGATGTTTCTAATTGCAGTCAACTTATTGCACTGGTGAGGTATGTTCATGATGGTGCCATAAAAGAGAATTTCCTTTTCTGTGAAGAACTGAAAACAACCACCAAAGCAAAAGATGTGTTTCAGTTTGTGAAAGACTTCTTTGCAAAATATGAATTGGATATCCAAATTATTGGATCTGTGTGTACTGATGGCGCTCCTGCTATGCTGGGAAATAAATCTGGGTTTTTTGCACTGATGAAACAGGAGATTCCATACTTGCAAGGCACTCACTGTTTCCTTCATCATCATGCTTTGGCATCAAAAACCTTGCCTCCAAAATTGAAGAAAGTCCTTAATACTTCAGTAAAGACCAACTGGATTAGGGGTCGTGCTCAAAATCACCGCCTTTTTAAGTCACTTTGTGAAGATCTTGGAAATGAACATACAATTTTACTTTTCCACACAGAAGTCCGATGACTCTCCCATGGGAGAGTTTTAACCCGCTTCTTCGAGAAGAAATCAAAGTATTTCTGAAGGAACGTCGCTGTGATCTACTTGAAGAGTTGGATAATTGCCAGGAATTCAATCAAATCTTAACGGATCAGAGTGACAAATTCACTCGTATGATTGATCTGAGTTTATCCTCAAGGAAAAAATATAAACATGCTGAATTGCTATGAATAGCTAAATGGCATTCAAGATAAGTATATCTGTGGTGTCGATGATGAAAAGAGAAATCATTCAAATTTTTCCATCACATGAAGAAATAGCTGATGGTCATGAATCTTCAAGTTTGATTACCTATGTTTGTGGCGAAAATTTGAGACTCATTGGAAGTCATTTGCATCAAATTGATAGATATTTTTGATGTAGGAAGCTGGAGTCATCTGAAAATGGATTATGATCCTACTCCTTCAATCTCTGATAAAATGTCAGATGATGGAGAGCAGAAAGAAGATCTTATAGATCTGCGTTCAAATGCGTGCTCTGAAATGCAATTTGAGAGAAAAACTTTGGAAGAGTATTGGTTGTTCGGCTATGGTTCTATTTCCAAGACATTGTGAAACTTCACTAACGTGCTCAATCTCATTTGCGACAACTTACTTTTGTGAATTCAGGATTTAGTACTCTTTTGTACAATTCAGACAAAATCTAGAAATCGTGTGAATGGACAGTAGACATTCGTGTTGCAATCAGCAACAGAGTTCCCTGTTTTTGAAAAACTCACAAGCAGAAAGCAGGAACAAACGAGACATGAATTAAAATGGATTCACAAGCTTTTTCTTGTGAAGTCAGCCTTTTGATTTATTACTTTACATATTTAAAGAATGTAACTATTTTTTATGGCATATTCAAATGTTAAATCAAGAACATCCCTTTCTATTCATAATGTTTGATTTTTTACACATTTAAAAAATAAAATTTCCTTTCTAAAGTTGAAAGCTAGTTCTTGATTTTACTTTTTTTGTAATAATTTCAAACAATAGATAATTATTTTTGTAAGGTGTATTCAGAATATCATTCTGGATTATTGTTTCTTTTCTGTAAGTCAATTTTGTTCACCTATAAATTAGAAATGAGAAATAAATATCTTCTTTATGATAAAATTAGTATATTCCACATCCTTTATCCATGAACAAGTTTAAATTGTAGGGTATGCTAGTTAGAGCAAAAATTTTATATGGGTGCGGAGTAAGATAAGTTTGGGAACCACTGGCCTAGGGTGATTAAGTTTTGAGAAGAGTCTTAAATTGATTTTCAGACTGGGTTTACTTACTTTAATATCGTTTGGTATTGAATTCCATATTTTGGGCCCTTTATGCGTAAGAGTTTTTTACACAGTGTGAAATGGGACAGAGGATATAAACCCTCCCCACAAACGTCCTCCTTATCCTAACCTCAACAGACCGACATGACGATAAACAAAAGCACCATATCACTCTTTGATTGTTCCTCCTCTGTCCATCTCACACTATGCAAAACCCAATGGCACATTAAAAGGCCGAAAAATCTGGAATCATTACCTACCAATAGAAAACATCTTATCTCCCTGATTACACCCCCATCATACTAACTACACAAATCCACCTGGTGGTTCCACACTTACACTCACATCCCCAATTTGAACCATAACAGAAATATTAATCTCAATCTTAAAACAGTAATGAATCCTATGAGACTCCAAACTGAACTAGGACAGTGCCAAAACAAAAGCATTCACATTGCTAAACTCACAAACTAGTATTAGTCACTTAGCCATACTACCAACTTACCTCATAATTTGGTAAATTTCTTTAAAATAAAGAATTAAACTAAGTCCTGCCCGAAATGCCTAGCCATGCTAGGCGATCTAGTGGTTACATCTCGTAATCATTATTAACTACCATGTAAACCACACACAACCAAATTTCTGTAGATTCAACATTGTAATCTTTATAGATAAAAAACTTTGAATTTGAATTGAAATGAATTTGAATATGAAATATAAAAGAAACACTGTCTGCTTATAAATTCAAGTTTATTTATTATTATCACACCGGCCGATTCCCACCCAGAGAGCAGGGAGGCCCAAAAAGAAAAACTTCACCATCATTTCACCCATCACTGCTTGCCAGAAGGTGCTTTTACACTACAGTTTTTAAAACTGCAACATTAACAGACAACCCCTCCTTCAGAGTGCATGCACTGTACTTCCCATCCTCCAGAACCAAGTCGGCCTGCCGGTTTCCCTAATCTCCTTCATAAATGTTACTTTGGACTTCACACTCCCAACAGCACTGTCAAGTAATTAAAAACATTTGTCTCCATTCACTTCCCTACAAACCCGCTCACTGCATGCCTGCTGGAAGTCCAAGCCCCTCGCACACAAAAACCTCCTTACCCACTTCCCTCCACAACCGCTCCTATGAGGCCGACGACCACCTACACCCGACCTTTCCTTCACTTACCGACAGATACACTCTTGAAGGCATTCTGTTTTGCTCCATTCTCTCTACATGTCCGAACCCCTCAACAACCTTTCTCAAGGCCCTCATGGACCAACAGTTTTTGGTAACCCCGCACCTCCTCCCCAACTTCCAAACTACGAATTCTATTCAGCTGCATTTATTCACACCACACATTGCCCTCAGACATGACATCTCCACTGCCTCCACCTTCTCCTCTCGCTGTAAAAAAAAAAAAAAAAAAAAAGCAACATTCCAATCACCCACCTCACACCCATATAAGAGCGTTGGTAAAACTATCTCTCAAACAATCCCCTCTTTGCCTCCAAGGACAAAGTTCTTTGTCTCCACAGACTCCTAAGTGCACGCACTCACTCTTTTTCTCCCTCATCAATTCTCTGATTCACCTCATCTTCATATACCCCATCCGCTGACACTTCCACTCACGTCCCAATTATCTAATACGTTCACCTCCTCCTGACTCGCTCCCTCCAATCTGATATACATCTTTCATCACCTATCTTTTTGTTATCCTCATAACCTTACTCTTTCTCTGTATTCACCTTAGATTTTCCTCTTTTGCACACCCTAATACCAAATTCATCCACAATCTCTGCAACTGTACCTCCTTCCAGAATCTCCAAGACACATTGTCATCAGCAAAGAGCAAGTCTGTGACAACTCCCACATTGTGTGTGATTTCTTTATCTTATAACTCCAACGCCTCTTGCCAGGACCCCGCAATTACTACTCGCTTACAACCCCATCTATAAATATATATAAACAACCACGGTGACATCACACATCCTTGTCTAAGGCCTACTTTTACTGGAAAAATTTCCCTCTTTCCACATACTCTAACTTAGAGCCTCACTATCCTCGTAAAAACTCTTCACTGCTTTCAGTAACCTACCTCCTACACCATACACTTGCAACATCGCCACATTGCCCCCCTATGCCACCCCTGTCATAGTAAACGCCTTTTCCAAATCCATAAATGCCCACAAGAGACCCTTTAAGCATTATCTAAAGACTGTTCACTTATAGTTTCACTGTAAACATCCTGGTCCCACACACCCCCCAACCTTTCCCTAAAATCTCCTTGCTGCATCTGGCTATCCTATTCCGCGCGTCTTACTCTTAATTCTTTCAAATAGAACTCTACCATACACTTTAACCAGGTACACTCAACAGACTTATCCCCCTATAATTTTTGCACTCTTTCTTTTTAATCCCCTTTGCCTTTATACAAAGGAACTAGCATGCTCTCTGCCAATCCTAGGTACCTTACCCTCTACCATACATTTATTAAATAATTTGGCACCAACCACTCCAAAACTATATCCAATTCCCCACCTGCTTTTAACATTTCTATCTTTATCAATCCCATCAATCCAGGCTGCCTTACCCCTTTCATTTTACCTACTGCCTCACGAACTTCCCCCCACACTCACATGGCTCTACCTCACACCTACAAGATTTATTCCTCCTATGCCCAATACAGCGAAATCACAGCTCCGACCATCATCATCAACATTTACACAATTCCTCAAAATATAACTTCCATCTTCCCAAAACCTCTAAACTCTCCATTAATAACACCTCCTCTCCTATTTTTAACTTGAACAAAACAATTTGTTCTCTAGGCTTTCTAAACTTGTTACCTCACTCCAAAAAATATCAACAAAAAAAAAGAGAGAGCAACGATATAAAAACGAAAAAAATCCACAAAAAAAAGAGACGAAGAAAAAACGTTTTGCGGTGGGGAATAAAAATTTGGGATAACTCTCACCCACTCTCCATTTGCTCTCTTTTTTAACATTGCTTTCAACCACTCTCTTACTACTCTCCTCTTGCTACATATACTCTCAAGTCTCCGTAAAAACCACTTACTTACCACACTAAATAAATACTGAATAACGTATCTCATAAATGTATAACCTGTGACCCTATCAAAACATTTTTTTTCTTTAATTACACTACCTAATAGAATACGTACTTCCAATTCTATTGAATGCACAGCAACTCAGCAAATGAACCATACGACCTGACTGAAATTACTCATTTGTGCTTTAATATGTTATTTGTTTACTATAAATTTTTACCACTGAATATAATCATTGCTTATTAATCTTAAGTTATTTTAAGCCTGCCCATAAATGCACTAACCCTACAAAGGGCTTTTGGCATGTTACACTTCAAACCACTGTATTTCTTGACACTATGTATCATGTCCAAATTAATAATAAATTAAAATAATAAATATACTTATCCTCTTTTTCATAAAAAATATATTAATTTTCAAACCTCTTTCTACACATAGTTCAATTAAAGGCTCCCCATAGTTTCATTACCCCCTGGGTGCCCCCAGATTTTACCCACTACACCCGTCTACAACATTTTACCAACTTTAGCATTGAGAATCCCCAACCACAAACTCTCTCACATTGGTTCAAAGCACCCCATGCACCACTCAACATTTCCCAAAAATCTCTCTCTCTCCTGAACATTTCTTCTCTTCTCCAGATGCAAAAACACTGCTATAACCCACTTTTCACACCACTCTTATTTTACATCCACATTATCTATGAAC